CTTTTTTTTATTCTCTTGACATTCATATTCACAGTAGGAGTTTATTGAGGAAAACTTTAAATAAACATTGAAACATAATTCTTTGATTTTACATATGTAAAAAGATTTTTCCTCAACCCATACATTTCATAATATATTCTTGTATATTCAGAATATACAAGATCATTATAAATAATGATATGTATGTGAAACACATATAAATAAAAAAAACTTAATGAATTCTATGATACAAAAAATTTAATCCTGAATGTGATTAATAAGTTTTGAAATTGAAACCATAAAAAAACACATAAAAAAATTGAGAATGATTATTAAATATTTGTCATCTTACAATATGGTCTCTATTCTCATTAACATTTTACATCACTAACAAATCGAATGTCCATATATGGAAATTTCTTTTGAATCATCCTTAATTCTCCTACCTGATCATTGGATTGATAAATATTATTCAAGTCCCGTTCTTTTTATAGTAAAAAAATTTCAATTTAGGAAATAAAAGGATATTCCAGGTAGCATATACACTTCTAAAAAAGATTATAAAGATATCTTCTGGGATATACGCATCTAAAAAATATTTAAAAGGCATCATAAAGACATCTATTAGAGTACATTGCTCATTGTCTGAATGTGTTGTTAATGTGATTTAGCGTCAGCATGAATTGTATTCTTGAGAAGAGTTAAATTGCAACATTACGTAACTAAACAAACATTACAAAATGTAACACAGTGAATTAAAGTCAATTAACATCAAGAAAATAATTCTAATTTCTCAAGAAACTGTTATGTAACACGTGTGTTATATAAGTTATATTTAAAATGTCAAATGTGACACTATGACAGTGAAGTTATATTACTTTTAATTGGTGTTTACTGAGAAGAAAATCTTAAAATTTCAAGAAAATTTATTTAAGACAGTATTTTTACAGACAACTTAAAAAAACATATAAATAATATTTTATAAATAACTTTTTCTTTAAATAATCTTACATTTTAACACATAATATTTAAAAAATTGAATATTTAATATAAAATTTTAATACAAATAACGATTATTTCTCTGTGTATTTCTTAAATTAAATAAGATAAGGTTCTTAATAAATGTATAATATTGTCAATTTGTTATCTCATCAATTTGTTAATGCAATAATAATAATTATATTATTTTAGATTTTAGACTAACAAGAAACAAAACGCAATACAATATATCTTATATATCAGAAAAAGGAATCGGAAAAAGGTAAAAAACCGTAATAAATTTCGTCGCGAATAAATTAATTACTACAAAAAATTGTTTTTATATTTTGTAACATGACGAGAACATGACTTTTCGAAAAATTTCCCCAATTCCAATTCTATTTTTAGAAATGGCTCTAGAAACATCGACATGGCTAAATCTGTGCTATGTAGAGAAAATTCTGCGAAAGTCAGAAAACGACAATTCGATTCAGGTGATCGATATATTTTCAAAACCGGCTACGGTGAAGGGTGACAACTACACTAGCGATATGATTAGGATTATTGTCGAATATTCACGCGGCTCTAAAATTAAAGAGAAAAAATCAATTATTGTGAAACTGTCACCTCTCCTTGAAGGTGTTCGACAGAAAATAGTAAGTAATCTAATGTGTATATATATATATATACATACAATGTTTCTAACATAAAAAGAGAGGAAAAAAAAACATATATATAGATATATATATATATATATATATA